ATTCCTTTTCTTATAAGAATTTGTACTATTTATAGAAAATTATTCATATGATACTTTCTTTATTATTAGTTTTATTATTAACTAAATATAATAATTAAACATTGAATATTAATGAATTCCTTTAATATGAAAATCACATCAGTATATTAGATAAATTATCTGTTTATCATATACAGTAGACTTTATATTGTTCGATAGGGAATGAATAAAAAACGTTCAAATGATTAATATAGACAATAGAATTCATTGGAGATTTGGATGTGTATGCTTGAGATTTGTCTAGATAGAATTTCACAATAAATATAATTCATTTTTCTCATATTAATTTTAATGAAAAATGATTGATTAAGTTGGATTTATAAATGTGTTAGTTTATTGATCATATATCAGCAATTATTTTTGTCTTGTAATGATTACTCAATCAAATTTTTATCTCAAGTATATCATGATCAATATAAATTATTTACAATCTCTATTGCTAATTAAAGATATCTTGTTGAATATATTAAATTAATGTGTTCTTATGTCATTCTTTTTCCAAATTTTATTAATTAAATATGAATTTAGACGTGATCAGTTTCGGATGTGAATCAAACTTCACTAGACATGATTTAATCGATGATTGAATTCCTTTTTTTTGTTATATGTCGCAACAAACAAAATAAAATAATTATTGATCGAAAACATGATGAATGTGTAGGACTTATCGGGTCATTAATAGACTCTCAAGCTATCTGAAAAGCATATGTACAATGTGTAGAGTGAATTATTTATCTATTATTTATTCCAAAGGTTCCCAAATATGGTTTCTGTAAACATGATTTTTTTCTCAATAGTAAACAATTATATAATTAGAGATGTTCAATTGAATTCAATTCATAGCAATTTATTCAGAATACACCATAGTTGATAAGAAATTTTTATATTACTAAACATTATAATTATGTATAAAATAATTTTTTTTTGAAAAATCTTGCCAATGATTATGAAGGTTAGCAAAACTTCAACTGTCAATGTTGAATAAGAAGAACATGATTAATCTTTCCGCTCTTCATCGACAGATGACGGATTCAAATTAATAATGAAAAGAAGAGCTTTTTTGCCATGAAAGAAGATAGAACATAATTAAAATGCTTTTATTCTAAACAAGAAATTCTCAGCTTTTCTATTAAAGAAGCGTCTGTCATGTCTATTTCTCAAAGAAAAGATTATCTCATTTCCTGATTGTCATTATTTGTGTCGAGAACTGCAAAGTTTTGTGCTCGATACTTTGAAACACAGTGGACACAGATCGCGTAATAATCATTGTCACTGTAAATATCGCCATATGTCATGAGAAAGGAATTTCTCTAGCACATCTGTTACTGGGTGTGACAAATTCCAACAGTCATTAATCACTGTACTTTATAGAAAATAATATACTTTTAAATTCTAATGAATTTGTCTTTAAAATATTACTTTATAATAAAAGAATTATCATATTAAATTGAAATATGATACTATAAGAACAATGCTTTCAATAGAATTATAGTTGCAAAAAAAGAGATCTCTTATGAAAAGTATTTTTTCAGCATGTAGTTGATTAGAAAAAAAGAAGATTTTTTATGCTCGATTTACTCATAGTCTAGTAATATATTCTTTATATACTTGATTAAACTTTTCGAAAGCTAATATGAGAAAAAAAATACAACGATAAATAAATAACCAATAGATTTGATGAAGTTGATTGGTATTTTTAGAAATAAAGATATTCTTTGTGGTTTTTCCTACATACGCTTTTTTTAATGACAAGGAAATCCCCTTGAATATCATAATTGATATGTATTCTATCTGACATCCACGTTTTCCTTCCATATATTACTCAAGCGTCAATTCACTCATATTTGTTCTGTATGTATCCAAAGTAACGTAGGAATGTTGATATATTCTGATGATTTCTTCTGCCCTTCTTTTCTTTTTCGTTACTCGTTATATCTAAAAGAATAGGGAAACAAGAAAGAAATCTATACAATCAGTCTACATAATTCTTCTATCCTTTTGTCGATCTATTGAATTAACAGAAAGAAGCTAGTTCGCTTGATTTGCTATATATTCGTGTTAAACCTCGTTGTTGTATATACGTATATGTGTACATTAGGGTAAAAAGGACTAACTATTTTCAATATCAACATTTGCAGATATATTTATTTCTAAGATGAATTCCCCAGTAACAATTCGTCTTGAACGTGAAAGAACTGATCAACAATGGGGTTTTCGTCTTCAAGGTTGAACATAAAATCTATTCTTTGTTTTCTTGTTTTGCTAAGTGTCTATTCTATTTAGGCGGTAGTGATTTTCCTATCCCATTATCGATTCAACTGGTGTGTAGACAAATAAGATACAAAGCTATATGACCTTTTTTCTTTTGTTTTCTCCAAGGTCAATCCAAATACTCTAGCTCATATAAATGGTTTAAATGCAGGTGATCAAGTTATATCAATTAATGGTCGAAATGTGACTAATCTCACTCATCAAGATGCTAAAATGGAAATAACCCGTTCCGGTAATGAACTTGAATTAACTATCATAAAGTACGGCTATCAATCATTATAATGAATGTATTCTCATACATATTCATTATAGAGGAGCAGTTAATCAACAATCAATATCAACACCTCAATCGCTTTCACCAGTAAAAACAGGTTCTGTATATCAAATGCAAAGTTCACAAGTTGTGAAAACTAATTTTACTGTACCGAATCAAGTATTGAAAATAATCTTTTTATTTCAAAATAATAACTATAAAGATTCATTTTAAGCCTCAAACTCATCTTGGTAATAATCATAATCGAGCAGCGATGCAATACGATGAACCAACGGGTAATGAAATGACTTATCAAACAGGAAAATCAACGGATCGACAACCTATTATGAGAGGAATATTTAAATCTTTAGATAAATTCTGTTTTTAGGTGATTATACAAAAGAAACTCCTGAACATCTGCGTCCGAAAGTTTGTACGTTTTTTAACATTTTGTTGATATTTTCCTTCTCATATTTAATAACTTTAAGCAAATTTTGAATCATCACCAGCTTATAATCGTGATCCACTTCGTATGTGAACTTTTTTTTTTAGTATAGTTTTATGAAAATATTTAAATTTTTAGAACGTGAAATATGGAGACCAAAAGCATATCGTGACAATTCACAAGCTTCAGCTCGCCATATTGGTACAGCTGTTTATCATGCCCAATATAATTCTCCAATAGGACTTTATAGTGATGATAAAGTTCTAGAAGCATTTAAATCACAAACAGGAAATTTAATTGATGAAATTAAAGGGTATTATCTGAAACAAAATAGAACATTTTTTTGAATTTAAAAAAATAATTTTATTTTTGTTGTTAGAAATAATACTTCTCAATCAACAACGAATCATAATAATAATATTCATAATCAACCATCACCTACATATCAAGCTGTAATGAATTGTGAACAACAAAAACATATGCCGTATTCATCTGAAGGAAAACTTTCTCGCTCATTTCGTGCTCTTGAACAAGATCTGTTGTCAGTTCAAGGTACATCCAAAGCACCTAAATCTATTTTCGATCAACGTCGTCAACAACAATAACGAGTTGATTTTCATAAGGTTAATCTATTTGATGAAGTATCATTGGCATAATAACGATGACCTTATCATATTGAATATCAAGATAAATATAGACAAAACATATGGATGACACTAATATCGAAGTAATACAAGTTTACTAAGCTATGTTTGTGTGCGTGTGTGTAATGGTTATTTTGTGAGCTGCTCAGCTAATAATTTAGTCGTTACCTTTCTCACTTTCATATTCAATAATGTATATTCTTTTTTTAAATCTTTTACCTTGTCATGAATTGTGTGAAATAATGCAGTGTTTTATATTTGTATTATATTCATTTTCTTTTTATTGTTACCTATCATCAAATGTGTGTACGTTTTAATTAAATAGAATGATAGATAAAAATTTCTTCATGTATTTTAATCACTATAACATGTGTGCAAACTTTCGTCAAATTTCTTTTTAATTTTAATCATTGGAAAAAACAAGTTTCATTTTCCTTTTGACTGTTAAAAATTTGGGACCTAAAGATGGCTTTGGACCATCAATACGTTGATCAAGACATAACGATAGATGGATTGTAAACGCTCGGCTTTTTTTAACATCGTTAACTTCTCTTAGCATATTTCCATCTGAATAACGCTTAAAGCTACTCTCATGACAGGCTTTCTATTCATTTATTGGCTTCATTGGTGTTTATCTTAGGACTTCGCACATATTTAACCCCTAAGCTGATCATATTGATAATGATTGCTAGTGCATTCTTACAAATGATCAGTGACATTGGTTTACAATTGCACCCTTATTAAATATCATAAGTTGGTTAATCAATGTCATAATATATTGATTAGTATAAATTATTTATTTAATTCTATTTCTGATAAACTAGCATGAATAACAATTCGAAAAAAATTGTTGGAGCTATGAAGTATAATCACAACAATATATATATATGTAGATTTTTTAACAATATTGGTGCTATAAATGTTCTTGAATATGACATACTTATTTTGAAACGAAAGGTTTCTTTTTAATCACGCAAGTTTTTGTGCATATTGTTGATGTAAAATATTCAATTATACCCATGAAATACATGTGTACACCATGCATTTTGATGATTAGTTTGATTCTTCAATTCTACTTTGTACAAATTTTCAAAAAAAAAAAAACATTTTGTTTATAAGTAAACACATTTGATATAAAATACAATTTAATTATTTTTCTCATTTGTCAAAAGATTCTATTTTTTCCAGATTATTTAATTAGTTGTTATGTATTGTCCATGTTGTTTATTACTACAAATTAATAATGAACTCGAATATCAAGGTCAATAACACAAATACATTAGAAAAAAAAACAGCAGAAATACACCGGAATGTAAAAGAAAAGAAAAGATTCATCTGTTTTTTTTTTCTAGTCACAATCATCGTCATTGATTATTTTTCGAACACATCTTTGTTCTTTATTAGTCATTTCTAATTTAAAACCAATATTACATACACATCGTCCAAATGATGTACAATGAGAATTTCTATCCATACTAATACATTGTCGATTAAGTAAACAACGAAAAGGAAATATATTTTTTAAATTAATTAGGGATTGGCGTGTTGTTGATGATGGTGACCATGGCCACCAAAGAAAACCAGTTGTTGTTGCTGCTGTTGTTGTGGTTGTCATCGTCGTCGTTGTCGTCGAAATTGTTGTTGTCACTTGAATTAATTCTTCACTCGATGCATCTAATAATACATTTAATAATTAGATTAGATTCATAGTTTAATTTCATACCTGGATCTTTTAAACAATTCCAATTATCAATAGGAAAATAACCTCTTGGACAAATACATATATTATTTAAACACATTGCATCTGATGTATGACAATTCTGATTTGTTCTACATTTTCCACCTAATAAACTTTTATAACCAGCTAAGCTTGCTGTTAAATCTGAATTTGTATCTAATTTTGAATGTATATATATATGTGCATAAATAATACATGAGATTGAATAGTTAGTTAGTTACCTTCAATACAAGTATAAGAATCAACTGATATATAACCATTAATACATGAACATTTTCCATTATAACAATGTGATTGAGATACTGATCGTCGACAATAATAATTATTTGTACATGTATTGCCTAATTTACCTAAGGATTTAACAATTTCATTATTTGGTAGATTGACTGTTGATGCTGTTGTAGAAAGAGTAGAAATGAGAGTTGAACTTTCTATGATCGGTGCATCTTAATATATAATCTAATCGAAAACCAGTGTAACATGATTTGAAAAACTTTTTACCTTGTCCACGAATATTATAACACAAATATTTTCCTAATGGAACATAACCTTCTAAACAAACGCATGTTCCACGAAAACATTCAAGTTGAACAGTAGTATGTTGACAATTCTTATTTGTCAAACACATTGAACCATAACCAGGAGGTTCTTCTATTTCAGATGTTTTTACTACTTGTGTATTTGATGATAATTGTTCTATATTCAATAATATTTTTTACTGAAAAATTCACAAATAACAAAAAAAAATCTAACCAAAATCTCGAATACATCGATAAGCATCAATTGGTATATGACCAGATGAACATTGACATCGATTTAATAAACATAGTTTTGTTCCATCAACTGGTGTTCGACGACATTCATCATTTGATTCACATTCTTCACCCAACATTTGAACTCCTAAATTCTCAAAAACAAATTCAAAATAAAAGAAAATGAAAAGAAAATACACAAACTTAAATTACTTTTACCAAAATTAATTTGTCGACGATGACGCATAATGGATATACATCGAAAAATTCCATCAGATTTATATCCGAATTGACATACGCATTTATTATTAAAACACATTGAATTTGGTACAAGACCAGCACAATTTTCATTTTTTTTACATTTATAACCTAGTGCACTATCATAATAAATCGTTTTTGCAACAATAAAATCAATCATAAATAAGAAAATAAACCACATATTTTCAATCTATAATATACGATTAAATAAATAAAGATTATAATCTTAGAAAATGAAGTTAACATTCACATCGATTAATTAAACTTACTCTTGATAAATACATCAGACAAAACTCTATGTATGTATGTATAAACTTGTAGCAGAATTTTGCTTATCAATGACAGACAAAAAAATAGACTGGTACCATCTGTTTCATCCTTACAAGTGCCAAGAAAAAGAAGAAAAGACAAAAAAAAAAACGAATAATTATTCTCAAGTAGTGTGATGTAAAATTCAAACAATAACTTAAGTAATGAGTTGAACGTGATCAAAAACAAAAGATTAGTTTTTATACTCTATTACTTTCTTTTATATTAAAATCACGTTCAGCTTTTAAAATAATATAAAATTTCTTCACACAGTCATTTTGAAAGATGAAACAAACAAATTACAATGAAAAGAATATTTAACATCGTCGTTTACTTTCATACTGATTGAGGAAAGAGTATTCGCCTTTTTTTTGTCTATTGTATAAAGATCGGTGACAATACATGAAGGATGTTTCAAAAGTTCGAAAGAAAGAAAGCATAAATAATTTCTCAGTAATGCATGGAATTTAAATCTTTGCATTAACAGTTTGATGACACATTCATTAAAATTCTTAGATAAAATGTCTGTGTCTACACAAGTCACAAGTAAAATAGTCTTAGTAATAGCCAAGTTCGAGTTAGCTACCATTCTTAAACGAAATTTGCAAGTCAAATTTGACAAAAACACGCCAGCTGAATCTTGTATTAGAACTACATTTCAGCGATTCTATGAAACTAGTACCGTCGAAAATCAATCATGTTATGGAAGACGTACAGTGATGACTCAAGAAAAAGTGAATGATGTTAAAAATGCTTATAAAAATGAACTGGGATCAAGTATTCGGTCTATTGTACAAATGTGTACTGATTATGACAAACAATAGCATACCTGATAATGACAGAACGTCTATTATTAAAGTCATATAAGGTACAATTTATTCACTAGCTCTATGAAAATAAGTTACATAAACCGAAAATTGGCTCATTTCTATAAGCGTCATTAACTTGATCGGTCTTATTTCAGTAACTACTCTATGATCTTCAAGAACGTCATCAATTTTCTACACTACTAGTTTCGTAAAATCGCTGGAATGCTTTGTTAATGCAATGATTAGTTGATGTGGTTTTTGCAAATTCAATTAGTAGTTATGGTTTTACAATGCTGGCTTATCCAACTTTGATCATGACTAGAACTATTTTAATAGGAAACTTGTTTAGCTACAGACACTTTATCTGAAATGTATTGAAGAAAACTTTAAAAAGAATATTTAACTCTCTTGAATTGCTGAGGAGTATTCACTTTGTTTTTTGTTCGAACTTTTGAAACAACGTCTATATTTATTAAATGTATTCTGAGTATATTACATCAGTAAAGAAATGGATATGAACAAAATTGCTTAATACTACATTATAAAAGAATATCAATTAATACTTGTATTTTTTTATTTAATTATGTTGTCTTCTGTTAACTCTAAGTAACAAATAAAGCATCTTTATTTTATTCACACAACATTATTTGTATTATATGAAAATAGTAATATTTAAAAAGAACTTTTTGATTACATTTCTAAATTGAATTTAATATTTTTGTATCTAAAAAAAGACTTTATTCATTTTATTTCATAGTGTAATCACGTTTTATGTATCATTTGTAACACAGAACAAAACAAATATTGATTCATTTTTTCATACTTCATTCTACTGGTTACCACTGATAATACAACACTGCATGACTTTTAACATAGATACCAAGGTCAATAAGAATAAATATCTTTATTTATGTATGTGTCCATACATTACGACAGAAATAGAAATCAAAAGAATATTACTTGAACTCCAATCATTGTTATGTTGTCATTGTGTTTCAAGTTTTTTTTCTTTTCTTTCTTTTATCTTTTTAAAATTTTCTATCGCAGTCAAACTATGACTAATGTTTGTTCTGTGAAAAATAAAAAAAAGAAATGAGAGAACACGAAGATCAACCTATCTACCCTTATATAAACGAGTGTGTTTTATATTCATTTCATTATTTTGACAGTATTCTCAACATTACAAAAAGTTTTCATTTCAATTTATATTTTCTGTATTAAAATGGGTAAAAGTCATTCAAAAGATGTATTTACTCAATGGGACTTAGATCGATTCAGTAATATTACTGGTAAACAGCATCTTCATTGATTAGTATTTCTCTATTGAATTAGATCATTTTTAGGTATTCCTCGTGCTACAGTTGAAAAACTCTATCAAGAGTTTGTTATTTCGACTGGTAAAAGTAATCGAATGGACAAGAAAGAATTTCGTCGTTTATATAAAGAATTATATTTAAGTGCACAACCTGGTCCAAATGTTCCAGTAGTTCTTACCGAACATGATTTAGATAAATTATCCGATCGAGTTTTTAAAGCTTTTGATGGAGAGGGAAATGGTATGATTGTTATTTTTTTTTTTTTCTTTTATTGATCTTATTGTTATCGCTTGTTTTTTAGGCAAATTGTCTTTTGAAGGTAATTTTATTTATTATAGTTAAAAATAGATTTTAAACTTATATAAAATAGAATTCGTCAATGTATATTTATTATTAAGTCGAAATGGACAGTCAAATACAGCTGTAACAGCTCGTGATCGTTTAAACTATATTTTAGATCATAATAATCCAACACCAGGTCAGCATTAAACATTGCCTCAGTTTTCTTATGGATTTATTTTTATTTTTTCAGGTTACATTTCACGAGAACAAGGTGAGCAAGTATTTAATCAGCTGAATCGATATTATAAGTTAGTATTTTTCTTTCTATATGAAATTTGAATAGACTTGTTTTTTTTTCAATTTCAGCTGGGAAGATACAAAAAATACAACTTCAACAACAACTATACCATCTGATCAAACAAAACCAGTTACAACTACTTGGGAACAACACTGGAGTAAACTCGATGATGGTAGTGGTCGGTTAGTTTTATTCTATTCCTTATATATTTCTTATTTATTTATTTTATGTTTTATTATTTCAGTGTTCCACAAGAAAAATTTGTTGAATATATCACAACTTCGAATGATTACAAAAATAATATCGATCGTATTTAAGTTTTGCAATGCAATGACAATGAATGAACGCTCTGATACGTTTTTTTCTTCATCTTCTGTTCTTCACTGATGCGTCCTCTTTTTTTTTGTCTCTGTGATTGTTCATCGAATGTATACTAACGACTTTGACAAATAGTTTTTTTTCTTGTTGATTACTTTTTTTTTTTTTATGAAACACAAGCCTTAATGAGCAGTACAATAAATAAAGCGAATGAATTTACGCACAAATTCTTATATGAAAGAAGGAAAAAAAAGTTTTTTTGCACTCCAAATATAGAAAATGTACAAAAAGAACAAACAACGTTTACTAAAGACAAAAAGTGAGATGTATGCTTCGTTCTAATATGTCATCGAAAGACTTTATATCATCGTGGAAGTATATAATCGTCATTTCTACCGATTAAGAAACAAAAAAAAGATCTATTTTACTGTTTCATCACAGGCAAAACAGTACAATCGATTATCTTGAATAAACTTCAGGTGCAAAGGGAAAAACGTGACTGGACACGTGTTACAAGTTTAAAATAGTTGTTCTCTGTATGTTGTAATATCTGATAATGAATTCGAGTTATTCATATGTTGAATGAATTAAAGCATGGTGCAAAAATATTATGATACAAATTATGATTAGCATGGTTCATTAATAAATGTTGAAATAAAAACAAAAAACATTCAAATCATAATTGCTAATGTGTCGACCAAATCTTCTAATTTAGCCATGAGAATCCTGGTTTTCAGACTTTTTCTTCTGATTATAAATGTCTTGAGTCCACGAACTGGATTTCTAACATTTTCTTTTGATGTTCTTCATTTCTTGATTTTTTTCTCATCTTGAATTTTAGCGACATTTTGAATTATTAAGACAATACAAGCAAAAGAAAAGAAAAAGAGAAGTATTACATTGATATATAGATGCAAATCATTGATGAACTTATCTTCATGATGGTGAAAGCATATCTAATTTATAAACACTGGTTCAATAAGCTTTTTCTATATCATCCTCGAATATCTTTTGCTAATCTATTTTCAGCCACACGGGTTTTTTTTTGGAACAATAATCGAAATATCAGGAAGCTCGACTTTGTAGGTACAGAATTAAAAATTAAAATGAATACTCAACATATTCAAAAAATGGTATGAATGGTATAATTAAAAAGCTATTCCTCATATATGCTCACTATGTTTAGGTTCATATCAGTTCCTTAGTAAACTTTATTTTCGTATTTCATTTGTCAATTTTTATGAATAGCTGTGATATGATTAGTTATATTGAACACATATGATTATTTTTTTTTTTATATAAATCCCCAAAAAAATTTGTCCATCCCTCAGTTGGAAAAAGAAGTTATCTATCGTTTACATGAATTTAAATTTCAGTTTTCTTCGAAAAGACAGGTGAATGGCTTTCTTGACTTCGATAAAAATCTCCCGATATTTCTCCAGGTTTTTCAGTCATGATCTTCTATCAATTCCTGATATTTGTCAAGCAACTCATATTTTTTACGATTTGGATTTGATAGGCCTGACAACGGACTATGAAATTTAATATGAGGAAAAATTTTATTCGCCTCAATACATTAATAAAACTGGTTTCCTATCATCATCAATAAGTACTTTTAATAATTCTCACAGATTTCTCTGACATTCATCATTACTTTCGTAAATATGGCTAGTCGTTATATAGTTAATTAACATTACAACCATAGACTAATATTTGCTAATCGCTTCGATTTGTATGAAAGAAAATTTGATTGAAAGTTGCTTCAAATATGTTATTCAGAAAGATTAATAGAACTCTGTTTTGTCCTTGATCTGTCTTCCAATGTGACAAAAAAAAAACGATAGCAAAA